GAGAATAAGATAAAAAATGTCAGAGCAGGATACCCAGACACACATACAGCATGTGTGCCAACACACACACACACACACACACACACACAAACACTCAATTTAAAAATGAAATAACCGAATAAAGAGCTGCTGAATTGAACTGAAGGCTACAAATTGTAAACATAACCCTCCCCCCCAAGACTGTGGCCTCCCCAGCTTCCTAGTCTTGTCTGACTCCCCTCAACACTCACATAGTGGCCTTAGGCAAACACCTAAGGCTCCCCCTGCCTCAGCTTCCTCACCTGGGAAGGAGATGAGATCCAGCTTGGAGAAGAGCTGTGTGGTTTGCTATTTAATACGTGTCAGGTTCTGGCATAGCTCCTGGTGCAAGAAGGATAAATAATAATTAGCATTACCAAGCGCTTGCCTGTGTGTCTCAGGCATGGCTCACTTAGCCCACCCCACAGCCTTGGGTGGTGGGGAACTTTTTGTCCAGAGTTCACATGGAGGCGTCAGGCACAAGGCACAGGAGGGCTAATAAGTTTGGCTAAAAAGGAGCCCATGTGTGCAGCAACCACTGAGCTGGAAGAATATGCCCCAGTGGATGGCTTTGTTCCTCCCTGAAAGTGGTCTTCAGAAATCGGGCATACTGGCTCATGCCTGTAATCACAGAAATCAGGAGTCTGAGCCACAAAGATCATGAGTTCGAGGCCAGCCTGAGCTACCCAGTGAGGCATTGATTCGGTAAGACAGGCAAGAAAATAGTCTTCGGAAAGGAAAGGAAGTGAGCCTGGATTTCAGAACTGGGGTGTGCCTGGGATGGAAGTTAGGAGGGGAGAGTGTGGCTCACTGTAAGGACTTTTCTGGGCCATAGGAGAAAGGAGGGAGAGGGCCGAGCCATCTTCCCTTTTGAAGTCCCAATGAGAACGTGTCCCTCTGTACCTCCCCGCAACCCTGTCTTCAGTCTAGATCTGCCCATGATTCTCTGACTGTCTCTTAGTTATAGAGACATCTTCTTTGAAGTTCCATGACACACCCCATCAGCTACTCCGGTAGCATAAACTCCAGCATCTCCAATTAAGTCTCCATTATGCAATAAGTTCACTAAGGAAATGAAGCCGTGGTTCCATACGGATGCATGTACTCAGAAGGCATGTTCTGCCAAGCCTTGGCCCGGGGCGCATGGAAAAGACACTGCTGGGCATGGTGGCACATGCAGGCGATCTGAGCACTTGGGAGGTGGAGACAGGAGGATCATGAGTTCAAGGCCAGCCCGGACTTTAAGAAACCCAATCTCAGAAAAGGCAGTTAACTGGGGAGGAAGTAGGTAGCACATGCCCTTAATCCTAGCACTCAGGAGGCAGAGGCAGGAGACTGTCTTGAGTTCAAGGCCAGCCTGGTCTACAAGGCTACATAGCAAGACCTTGTCTCAAAATAAGTAAATAGGAAAAAAAGGAAAGGGGCCTGGAGAGATCTCTCGGTGGTTAAGAGCACTGGCTGCTCTTGCAGAGGACCTGGGTTTCACTCCCAGCACCCACATGGCAGCTCACAGCCATCCATCACTCCAGGAGATCTAATGCCTTCTTCTGAGACCAGGCGTGCACACAGTGCATTTACATACTTGCAGGTTGAACACTCATACACACAAAATAAAGACAAACCTTTACTTAAGAAGGAAGGGAACCGGGCGTTGGTGGTGCACGCCTTTAATCCCAGCACTCGGGAGGCAGAGGCAGGTGGATCTCTGTGAGTTCGAGGCCAGCCTGGTCTACAGAGTGAGTTCCAGGACAGCTTCCAAGACAATACAGAGAAACCCTGTCTCGAAAAACCAAAAAAAAAAAAAAAAGAAGGAAGGAAGGAAAGGGAGAGGAAGACGATCATGGGGACTTTGCTGAACAGAAGTGAGCTTTAAGGCTTTCTGTGGCCAACTCAAGTGAGTCCAGGGCCCTCTCTGACCTTCAGTGTATTCCTCTGTTGAGCAAAATGACACACGGGATGCTGTCAGTCAGCTTCCAGTTGCTATAACAAAACACCTGGATTAGTTACCTTGCAAAGGAAAAGGGTTGGAGTTGAGACATCTGGTTCATGGTCCCATTGCTTTGGGCTTGTGGCAAAACAGCGTGGGAGTAGGTGGTGGGGGGAAATAGGTCACCTATGGCAGGAAGCGAGGAGAGGAGCGGAGACCTAGAGAACCATAATCGTGACCCCATGCTTAAAGGTCCCTCTCTCTCCTAATAGCATCCACCTTTAAAACATGGACCTCTGGGGATCTTAAAAAACAAAAAGCAAGCAAACAAACAAAACACAGGTCCCAGAACTGACTTTAACCAATGTGGCTCACACCAGGCTGGCATCCAAGCCAGGCACGAAGGGTCATCGTCGTGGCCTGAAGGACAAATACTGGCTGTCTTATTCAGTGATTTCAACTTCACAGTCACCTATGGTCCCTTGTGAGGCTCTGAGAAAGCCCCTCCAGACCCTGGCTTCATTAGACCCTGCAAAATCCAGGGTGGGGTGGAGGTGCTCTCACCTCACCTGAGGCTCCTCTGGTCCAGCTTGTAACTGGAAAGGTGACAAAGCCCTTTCTGTATTTTTGTAGGAGACAGAGATTGCCAAGGAGCTCATTAGCCGCCACCCCATCCCCACCCCCTCCCAGCCACAAAGGGAGTGACATTCAGAGGCCATTCCAACAAGTGGCGGGAAAGGAGTTTACGAGTCCTTCTGCACCTCTCTGCATCCCGTGTCCTTTTCTCTGTTTCAGGCTGGACTCTAGTGTTTCCTGCCTTGCCTTCTCTTTCTCCTTGTACTTTCCCTCATGTTAATTATATTAGTTGCCATGGAAACTGTGATGTCATTGGCACGGGAGGGCTCAATGACATCCAAAAGCACAGTTTACAGCGTGGCTAGAAATGTATTCCATGGCTCGCAGCCTTGGGGAGTGTTGGGGGGGGCGGTATGTGGTGATTATATCTTGGGCACCATCTGGGCACACAGGTGGGAAGTGTCAGGGGCAGTGCTAGGTGGTTGCTTCTAGGTTTTCTAGAATCCCCAATCATGGTGGGGGAGCGGGCTTTACCCTTGGAGCATAAGCAGGGCACCTTGGATGCTGTAAAGAATTCTAGCTTGTCTCCTACCAACCCCCCCTGCTTCCTGGTACCACACCCCACCGTTGCCCCAATTTGGAATTCTAAATCCTGCTGCGAGTGGTGCCTCAAAGTAGCTCAGGCAGAGTCGCTGTGCATGCATCCCATGTGCACACGTGAGTACATGCCTAAGGTGCCAGGACCGAACTCCTAGATGATGTAATGAGCAGCCCATGGGGCACATGAGGGCTGGCACACACGTGCACGTGCACACACTTGCTCACCCATCTGGACGTTGTTGGTGAAGATGCTGTGCAGTCACATGTGCGCATTGGTTCACTGTCTTCCTGTGGGCCTGGAAGCTCTCAGTGCTGGTGTGGTGTGTGTTCCTGGACCAGGCAAAGAGTAGGATGAACACCCTCAGAGCTGAGAGCCACTGGATCAGTGGGGCCCCTCCTTCTGCCTGGAGAACCAATGCTGTGTTCTCGTTTCCTGCCATGTCACCTTGAGCAAGCTGAGAACTCTGGAAACATAGTCTGCAAAGACAAGTGGGTCCCAGGGGCCTCCCTCGGTAAGTCTGAAGCCTTTATGACAGAGATCAGCAGGGTGAGGGGCTGTCTGTAGGAGCAGGGCTGGAAGAGCAAGGTAGGAGCCAGTCTGGGACAGTGGGTACCAGTTTGAGACTCAGGGGATGCAACAAAGAGGGTCAGAGAACTAACTCTAAACAGCATCACTAAAATAGACGGCACTAACAGTAAGGAAAGCCCAGGAAGAACTTGGGGTTCTGCTTGCCCAAGGATCTTAAGCAGAAACAGTGGCTGCCTGACCTCTGTTCTGTCTTTCTGGACTTTGATGTTCCTTGTGCTCCCAGGTTAATAATTAAACCCACAAAGATTGTCATTCAACAACTGGGAACCCATGCATGCCCACTGGTCAATTTTGGTCAGGCCTGGGCTATGGCAATAGGAAATGATGACTGATCCTACTGGACTAAGATGAGGTGATGGGAATGGAACCCACCAGATAGAGCGCAGAACTGAGCAGGGAGTCCCTAGGCTTCCTTCAGCCCCTCTCTTTCAGCTTCCCACTCAAGGTAACGGCTCTTCCTGCCTGTACTCCCTGCTTCCATCCAGCCCCACTGCCAAGATCTCATTCTCTTCACTCTGAAGCCATTCACTTTCGATGGAGTTTCTGAACTTGAGATGGGAGGTCATAGGATGACCTGTGTGAGTTAGCTCTCATCCTCCACCATGTGAGTCCTAGGGATTAAACTCAGGTCACCGTATCCCTCAAATCATCTTTCCAGCCCCCGGAAGATTTATGGTGAACCAGATTGTACCAGTGCCTGATGTGAGAAGCAGGCCTAGTGGGAAAGGGGAATGTGGTGTGCCCAGTAGAGAGGACAGATGAGAAAGCATTGGGACAAGAGATGTAGGTACCAAAGAACATGGGCTCCTCATGATGATACAGGGCAACCTGTGGCTTAGCCCTCAGTAGGCTCCGTTGCTCATCATCCACCCCACAGCCACAGATGGTTCTAGGAACCAAACCAACCTTGCATATACAATCACACACTCTTGTGCCCAGAATGCCCTGGGACCACACTGCTGTGACACTAACAGTGCCATGGGGATTTTAGAGACAGAGAGAAAATGAGATGCACAGGGAGTGCCATGGGTGAGGGGGACCTGTTGGAAACTGTCAGTTGAAGATGTGTTATATTCCTTTATGCTTTGGAATATTTGTTTAACGATGCAAAGATGTGTTGCATTCCTTTCTGTTGCATTTGTTTAATTCTGTGAAGCTGTGTTTCTTTGCCTGTTTAAAACACCTGATTGGTCTAATAAAGAGCTGAAGGGCCAAGAGGAGGCAGGAGAGGGATAGGCGGGGCTGGCAGGCAGAGAGAATAAATAAAAGGGGGAAAGAAGAGGGAGGAGTGGAAAAAAGAAGGACAGGAGGATGCAAGGGGCCAGCCACCCTGCCACACAGCCAGCCATGGCGCAAGAAGGCAAGAAAGACATCTAAGATAGAGAAAGGTAAAAGCCCAGAGGTAAAAGATAGATGGGATAGTTTAAAATGAGAAAAGTTGGCTAGAAACAAGCCAAGCTAAGACCGGGCCTTTATAAGTAAGAATAAGTGTCCATGTATTTATTTGGGGGCTGAGTGGTGGGCCCTCAAAGAGTAAAGAGTAAGAAACAACCAACTACAGAGGACAAAGGTGTTTTCCACCATAGTTTTTCCCCAAGGATGAGGCTACCCTCCCCTGGCGGCCCTTCGGCCACATCTGGAGATAATTTGGGTTGTCACAACAAGGCGACTTTGCTGCTAGAATCCAATGGTCAGGGGTCAGCGAGTCAGTGTGCATGGATGACTCTCCACCACAGAGTGGCCCAGCTCAGTCTGGGCTGGAGACTCAAAAAGCCTGGTTTAGATGAGACAAGAAGTTTGGTGCAGGGCATGACACAAGTTGGGAAAAGGAGACAGGTGGGACAGGGGTTCCAGTGTGCTTAAAGACTGGAGGTTCCCCACCCCTCTGTTTGAGGACCCTTCCCTCCCTCTCTGTGGTAAGGCCTGGTGGCCAGGAAGGCCATCCTGCTAGAAGGTCTGCAGGCCCTGGGAAACAGTGACTAGTCATGACCACCTCCTGGGTTTCCTGAGTGCAAACAGATATCCTGCATGGCTGCACATCTGCTATTTAGGGGTCCTACCCTGGGGAACTCAGATTGCTTGGCCATGCAACTTGTGGACACTCAGCCTCTCTGGTATGTCCTCTTGAGTTTAACATGTTCCTGTGCTTCAGTAGCATGAGCCCGGGGAGAGAAAGAGAGACATCAGGGTGCAGGGAACAGTAAGGCAGGGCCTGGGATGGGGTACGGCAGGGAAGGGGGCAACACAGAGACAGTAAGAGATAGATTGAAAATGGTAGAAAAATTAGAGAGGGAGAGGGGTGGAGGAGGAGGAGGAGGAGGAGGAGGAGGAGGAGGAGGAGGAGGAGGAGGAGGAGGAGGAGGAGAGAGAAAAGGGACAGAATGTCCTGTCCAGACAGAGAAAAGGCAGAGCAGGAGAAGGGAGGAAGGGCAGAGAGCAGGGTCAGGGAATCCTCCTTGCCAGCATCCCAGGCTCGGGGAAGCCGAAGTCGGCAGATCTAGTACTTCCTCTGGTCCAGGACCTGCCCGTTTACCCGCATGACTACTGGCATGCCCAGCTCACTGGACAACTGCCAACAGGAAATTCCCAGGACAAAAGCTTTCCACTCAGAGGCTTTTAAAACTTCTATTTATTTAAATATTTTCTTCCGCAAATGAGGAATGAACAAGAGGGAGGAAAAGAAAAACAAAAGAAACCACCTGGTATTTATATATATTAATATACACGTATATATTCTCTCACCCTGGTGGGGCCAGAGAGGTTCTGAACGCGTTGTCTGGTTGGTCCCACTCTCCCCCTGGAAGGATCTGTGACCTCACACGCCAATGATGTCACAACGAGTTGCCATGGGCTTTGCTTTATTATTGTAAACAAAGGGCCTGTTCCTTGGGACACTGGCTGCCTTCACAGGAGTGGGGGAAAGCTCCGGGTGTTGTGTTTTCTTGGGAAGGCAGCTGGTTCGGAAGTCTGAGAAGCTGTGAAAATACTCGTACATACAGTTCCCTCTGCGCCCTGTGGCCTCTGGATGAGCCTCAGGCTGGGAAACAGAGCGATGAGGTCAGGCTTCACCGCCTGACCTCCAGCTCGGACGTGCATTCTCGCTGCTGGGAAGCAGCTTCCCCATCTTCCCTAGCCTGGGCAAACAAGGCTTCCACTCATTCACCAAAAGTGCACTGAACACCCTACTGCGTGCTCAGTGCCAACAAAGCTGGAATAGTAGATGAATGAAAAACGTGGGGTCAGTACCACCCCCTCCAAACCCTACCAGTGCTAGAGCGTGCAGCGTCGTGTGGGCTAAGATCACCGTAGGAAACATGCAGGCTGAGAAGAGGCTCCGTTGGTGATGCGCTTTCCCAGCATGCACTATGTGTGCTGCTGCACATGTGCAATCCCAGCACTTCAGACAGGGATGTGGCAGCATCAGAGATTCCAGGTCATTCCTGGTCACTTTGTGAGTTCAAGGCCAGCCTGGACTACTTGAGACCCTGTCTCAAAAGGAAGAGGAAGAAGAGGAGGGGGGAGCCACTGTGAAGAGTGGAAGGAGAAAGCCACCTCAATAAGCTGCCCGAGAAGGCATCTTGGGAGAAATGACAAGTTAGAAGCAGCTGCGTGACGCCCAGGAGAAGAGGGCAATGACAGAGGCAAAGACAGACACCCCAGGCGGTCACTGTGGTGATGTGTCGATGTGTCATAGTCTGTTTGTTTTTCCTGTAGTTACAACCGAATGCTACAATCTGGGTCACTTGTAAAGAACAGAAGTTTGTTTAACTCCATTCTGGAGGCTGAAAAAATACAAGATGGTGATGTTATGTCTGGTGAGGGTCCTGTGTTGGCCCCAATGTGGCAGAGGTATTATGTGGTGAGGCAGCAACCGCACGGTACAGCTGAAGCAGGAGGAGTTTTCAAATTATATTATTAACATTGGGGCACCTGTGCCACAACAGTGCAGAGGTCAGAGGACAATTCCATGCAGTCTCTCCTTCTCGGTTCACCTTTTTGTTTGTTTCTTTGTTTCTTTTTTCAAGACAGGGTTTCTCTGTGTAACAGTCCTGGCTGCCCTGGCTTTGTAGACCAGGCTGGCCTCGAACTCACTGGGATCTGCCTGCTTCAGCCTCCCAAGTGCTGATACTAAAGGTGTGCACCACCACTGCCCGGCTTCTCTCTTTCCATCTTTAACATGGCTCCTAGAGACGAATTCTGGATGACATGGCAAGTTCCATTTTCCACTCGCCCATCTTGCCAGCCCTGAAGGATATATTTAATATGACCCAAAGCCCAGGGACTATGTCTCAGAGTGGAGGAAGCACCATGACTCCCAAGAGGGAAATTGGGGCGCTAGCCCAGAGAGGAACCAAAACAGAATTCAGCAAGCATTTTGTATGCCAAATACTTTTTGCTTAAACAGCTCCAAACACCAAAGGAGTTAAATAAACATTATTAGTCATACTCTGCCAATGACAAATGGAAGACTCCAAAAGCTGAAGTTAGCCTGCAGGTCACCCCCCACCACACCCCAAGTATCTCACACTTTGGCTCAGCATGAGGCCTTGCTTACCCGCAAGGCAACACAGAAGGGCCATATATTCCACAGCCTGTTAACACAGCCATCCACACACACCACTGTCTAGAACATTCTCTCAGCCAGGAAACTGAAAGTCTGAATCCCTTGAATTGATGGGCAGAGGTAAAGATCAGGGCAGAAGGCAAGAGACTGACTCCAGAGGTCTCACCTTACCTCCAGGACATGTCAAAAGTCCTCTGTCACCTGTAGTGTCCCTACCATCAACTTCCTCAGTAAAGCAATCAGGGTCAAAGGTCTTGAGTCCTAACCATCAGGCTCCGGATATGACCCTAGGGCACCCCTGTACCCGTTACCTCCACATCCCTCTACTGTCCCACCCACCCCCCACCTGGCACATTTCTTTCCTTGTGTTCACCTCTGAAAAGTGCTCTCCCACACCTCAAGACAACAGTTCTCTTTCCCCTTGCCAACCCACCTGGGGCAATTCCTCTTTGCTTTAGTGGGAGGCAGGACGGCACACCGATAGAGCCTAAGCTTTAGAGTTAGACATACCTGTGTCCCCATCCCAACCTTGACATAAGCTGTGCGATGCTCAGCAAGTCACATCCAGTCTCTGAATCTCAATTTCATTCTTGTTCTCCCTCTTCCCTCCTCCTTCCTCCCCCCCCTTTTAAAGGCAGTATCCCAGGCTGCCTTTGAAGTCGCTAGCAGGATAACCTTGAACCCTGACTCTCCTGCCTGCACCTCTTGAATGCTGGGATCACAGGTGTACACTACAATGCCTGGCTTCTCTAGTGCTGGGGATGGAACCCTGGCCTTCGTGCATGCTAGGGGGTGTGCCTTATCAGCTGAACCCCAGCCCTGAACCTTCTTTACCTACACCATCTACCACTGAAAATCTGAAGAGAATCGGTCTCATGGGGCTGGGGGTGGATTGAACAGAGGGGCCACAGTGCCTGATGATTTTGTCTGTTTCGTCCTCTGTAGAACTCCTGGTGCCTAGGATAGGGCTGGGCATGCAGCAGAGCCTCAGTTTATGTGAGTTTATGTCAGTAAAATGCTTAACGCAGAGTCTGGTAGATAAGGAGGAATCCCTAAAGCAGAGGCTGGTGTCTCATCTGCATGTGTGTGTGTGTGTGTGTGTGTGTGTGTGTGTGTATGTTTGCATGTGCCAATCTGTCTCCTCCACCATATCAGAACACAGATTTCAATTTAAAATTCTCTTTAGACACCCAGGACCCATCAGAAGATCCCATCTTCAAGATGTTCAATGGATGGTTTTTCAATAGGACAGTAAATTTATGGGCAAGAAGTGACAAGGGATAATAGGCTTTGACCCAAACACCTAGGAAGATTCGCTGTCATCCTATACTCCTCAAACGTGCACCAGGTACAGCCTTTGATAGTGTCTGCACCACCTGTGGACCAGTAATTGACTCCTGTGCTGGCTTCTTCCCACCTTGGGTCCTGAAGCTGAGCCTGCGACTCCTCCATCTACAGCATCCCATGGGCACTTGGCCTTCACTCACCAAAATTGTGCAATTGGAAGCCACTGCCTACAGCACTCCCGTTGAGCCTTTGTACTGCCAAACTCCAGCTACTGAGTCCTAAAGCCCAGCCTGGAGTTCTCTCAGCCTGGCCACCCGGATGACCTCCTAACTGCTGTGGTGGCAGAGAACAAAGGAATTTATTCCGGTTCTGCATCAAAGCGCCAAGGTGTGAGGTTGGTCCTAGATGGCTTCTTGCATCCCTGATGGCTGCTGTGCCTCTCTAAGTCATCTATTCCCTGGGGCCATCTCAGCCTTCAACTCTATTGTCTCCCACGGATTCAGAGCACCCCAAATCCACAATGATTTTGATTTTACTGATGTTGGAAGAAGCTGGGAAGTACAGATGCTTTATGTGTCCACACACAGGCAAAAGGCAAACCAGTTCCCTGCTGCTCACCAGGACTCGACCCTAGTGACCTGTCATCCTGCTTCCTAACTAATATCAGTACCCTGGGTGGTCAATGTCAACATGTGGGATTTTATGTGTATGAATGCACGCCTGCATGCATGTACAGTGTGGTGCCTGCAGAGGTCAGAAGAGGGTGTGGATCCCTTGAGCATCATGGGGATGGTGGGAACTGAATCTGGGTCCTCTGCAAGGATGCCATGAGCCCCAATATGTGGATTTTGGAGGCCACGGCAACCAAACATGAAGACAAACTCTTGTTTGTCTCTTTTCTGTGGTGATAGGCTGAGATCATCTTTGTGTGAGCTGTTTCTCTTCAGGACTGGATCAATCTTGTATAGATGTGGGTGGCCTTGGATTTACAGAGTTCTGTTTACCTCTTATTCCTGAGTCCTAGGATTAAAGGTGTGTACCACCACCTCCTAGCTTCTGGCTGCTGGGATTGAAGGTGTGCGCCATCAGTGCCTGATCTCTATAGCTTGAGGCTGACTTTGCTTTCTGAATCCTCAGGCAAGGTTTAATAAATCATAAATAATATGTCACCACACTCTTCTGTCTCTCTGCACCTTCATGCTCCTTGACCGATTTAACCAACACTGCCCAGCCTTGTCACTGTGACAGGGGTCTCCTTTGCTTTTTCACACTTGCCTTGTTTCCTCCCCTGTTCTCTTCTTGCTCTGACACCCCACCCCCGCCGCTCAGGGTCTTGCCACCATGGTACCCTTCCCTGATCACCCTGTCATCTCAGCTTCAGCATCCTGCACAGGAAAGACGGCATGCTATGGCACAGCCACTCCGGTGGTACCAGCCCTGGGGCCTGAACTGAGCATGTCTGGCTGCGCAGGAGCAGTTATAGGAGGTCCATGCGAGTGGAAACGCCAACGGGGCAGAAGGGGAGGCTTCTACTGTGACTCTGAGCTGCCTACCTGAGAGGAATGGATGGGCAGGCCACCTTGGGCTGGGCTCAGAACAGCTAGGCAGGTGGAAGAGGATGGGCACACAGTAGCAGAAGTCATAGGTATAAAGGCACGTTGGGGGCCAGGGTGGGACTCAGTGGCGATCATATGATTAGCATGTAAAGTCCTGGGTTCTACCTATAGAATAAGAAGGGAGGGAGGGAGGCAGGCAGGCAGGGAGGGAGGGAGGGAGAGATGGAGGGAAAGGAAAAAGAAAAGTCTTGGCTCTGGAGAGATACCCAAGTGGTGCAAAGGACCCAGGTTCAGTTCCCAGCACCCTGTCTGGAACTCCAATTCTAGGGGATCTGATGCCCTCTTCTGCAGCAGGCACACATGTGGTGGGCACACATACACAGAGACAAATAATCATGCAAATAATCTTCTTTTAAAAAGCCCCCAAGTGGAAATAACCCACACATCCAAGGACGGACAGTGAACTACACAAGGTGTGGCCAGTTGGTAAGGTGGAAGGTGACTCAGCAGCGGACAGGAACAAAGCACTGATGCACGAGCAACAGACGCCATGTGCCAGACACGTCACACTAAGAGAAATAACCACACACAAAAAACAATTTATGCCAGGCGTTGGTGGCATGGGCCTTTAGTCCCAGCACTCGGTAGGCAGAGCAGGCAGATCTCAGTGAGTTTGAGGCCAGCCTGGGCTACAAAGTGAGTTTCAGGACAGCCAGGACTGTTACATAAAGAAACCTTGTCTAGAAACAAACAGGCCTCTTCTGCAGGGCTGAGGGCCCATCCTAGAGGACCATTCTGCATCTGGGTCCAGACCCCCTTGCTGGGGCTCACTCGACCTGGCAGAGCTACTCTGAGAGCTGAACTTCTTTGTTCTGGACACTCTACCTCCCAGCTTCATTTCTCAGACAGGAATGTTAAGTTCGGCCTCAGAAGAGGTCTCCAGAAAGCCAGGAGTACCGGCTGCTCACATGCCTTTCTCCAATGCCAAATCCCTGGTGTTGCCCAGCCCAGCCCCTTGCTCGGAAACACCCATCTCTAACACCCGAACTCCATGTCTTCAGAGGTGTCTTGAGTGACTCCAATGTTCCCCTGGGGTATCTCCACTAGCCACAACCAACCCCCAGCCTTTTGTTGGACAAAGATATGAGGCATCCCTGATGAGCGCTGGCAATGATGCCTTCAGGCAAGAGGGCTCCTCAGTGCCCCTGCCTCTCATCCCGGGCTTTGTGTCTTTGGGACCGGAATCCACAGCTTCAACAGTGCAGGAAGAGGGGTCACAGAGGCCTGGGCAAAGTGCTTCCAGCCATCTCTCTGACTGGATTTTTCCTGTCAGTCTCCATGGAAAAGCCATCTGTAGACCTTTGTTCTGTAACATCCCAACTTCGGAGTCACCAGAGGGAGCTTGTGGTGGTGGACTGAATTAAGTGGTCCCTTTCCAGATGCCAGGCTCTGGACTTTGTAGGCAGTCTGTGGCTCCTTGTTACATGAATGTCACCTGAGGGAGAGAAGAGGACTCCCAGTGGTACCCTTAATTAGCCTTGCTCCCTCCTACCAACTATTGTGCGGTGTTTTTCCTCTTTAGGGAATGTGTAGTGGTGGTGGTGGTGGTGTGTGTGTGTGTGCTCGAGTGCATGTAAGAGCCTTTGGAGACACAGAGAGAGAGAGAGAGAGAGAGAGAGAGAGAGGTTGTAGAAGTTTGGGTGGTCACAAGTTTCCTTTTGGCTACCGTGGTAACTTCAGCTCAGCACAGCTGAGTACTGGTGTGAGCTCTTTCCAGAGCCCAAACCCTGAATCACCCCAGGACTTCCCTCCCCACTTTCTCCTCCTTGTTATGTAGATGAAGTTTCTCCACAAATCCTCCACCTCACTTTCTCGGTTCTCCCTGCAGGCTCCCCGCCCCTCTCTTCAAGGGAAATTCCCAAGTCTACCTAGTGTTTGAAACTCTGATTCGGAACTGGCTGGGGTAGAGCCTTGGGGCAGAAGAGGACGGACTTTAGGAACCAGGGTCCCGGCAGACAAGAGAGCTCGTAATTACCCTGGGCTGTTATCTCTTTACACTCTCCCGTAAACTCAGCAGCCGGTGATTCCCACCTCAACGGCTGCTCCTCCCCTCCTGCCCACCTGCTGCTGCTCACGAACGCTCGCCTTCCCTGTGCCTCCAGGCACTATTTAGCCTTGTGGATGCCACTCCCCCACACACCCACCGACATCCCTGTGACCTGATAAGCTTTATCTCTAGGGTTGAGCATCAACTCTCTGAGGACAAGGGCCGATCCTTTCCATTTTCCATTCCAGCATTGGCCCTAATCTATTTAGGAACCATTCAATAAATCCTATGAGTGTCTAGGAAATACCTTTGACGGGAGGGAGAGCACTGCATGTGTGGTGGGATCTCTCCTCTAGGAAGGCCACAGCAAAGGCCCAGTCCCCTACCCCAAATCTGGTGTTTCCTTTGTGGTTATCCCGGGTGTTCTGGGAATGTAATCATACACCCTGGGTGTCCAAAGATCTCATCTCACCTGCCCTCTCACTCGGCTTCAAGGTGTTAATTGTATGTTTGTTTATTTGATTGGTTGTTAATTTGATTGAATAATTGTGTGTTTGCATGATTTGTTTGAGAAAAGGTCTCCTGTAGCTGAGGCTAGCCTCAGACTAAAACTGAGGCTGGCCTTCCTAATCCTCCTGCCTCACAAATACTGGGGTTGTATGTGTGCACCATCACCCCTCATTTGGTTTTGTTCAGTTAAAAACAAAAACAAAAAAAAACAAAAGCTGTGAATCGCTTACATAGCTCAAAACTGGCCTCAAATTCATGATCCTCCTGCCTCAGAGTGCTGAATTACAGACAGTCCCACTAGTTCCTCTGTTTTTTGAGACAGGGTCTCACTTCTGTTATAGCCCAAACTGGCCTTGAATGTACGGTCCTCCTGCTTCAGCCTCCCAAAGGCTGGGAGACTTGTGGATTTCATTCACAATAATCAATGAAACGGGCCCCGAAGCTCCTCCCTCTGGTGTCAGGCCTTGGAAGAGCGAGAGGGAGCCGGAACAGGCGCATCTTTGAATGAAGACGAGGCAGTCTTCTGCTAAGCCACGGAGACCTTGGTCGGTGGGGTCGGCCTGCCATGCCATACATCCATTCCGAACCTCCGCTTCCTCACGGTTATTAACCACCCTCCAGAGTAGAAATGGCAGATGCAGTTGAGAGCCCTGCAGAGGAGAGACGACGGCTGTCTTAGTTAGGGTCGCTATCGCTGTGGGTCCTGGAACACCATGACCAAAGCAACTTGGGGAGGAAAGGGTTTATTTGACCTACTCTTCCTCATCGTTATTCATCATCAAAGGAAGTCAGGACAGGAAGTCAAGCAGGGCAGATACCCGGAGGCAGGAGCTGATGCAGAGGCCATGGAGGGAGCTGCTTACTGGCTTGTTCCTCGTGGCTCGCTCAGCCTGCTTTCTTACAGAATCCAGGATCCCCACCCAGGGATGGCCCCATCCACCATAGGCCGGGCCCTCCCCCATCAATCACTAATTAAGAAAGTGCCCTACAGGCTTGTGTACAGCCCGTTCTTAGGCTTTTTCTCAATCGAGGTTCCCTCATCTCTGATGACTCCAGCCTGTGTCAAGTTGACTTAAAACCTGCCAGCACAGTGGGTGACTCTGACAGTGTCACCTTGGTCTTTGAGGGTCATTTCTATTTGGTCTCCAGCTGCCCCGCGCCAGTCACAGTCCGGAATGCCAGATGGACCCCGCACCGGAGGACCCTTTCTTCCCAGGGTCATACCGTCTTTGTGGGGCAAAGAGTAAACTGCACCCTGGCTTCCAGCCCCTGCTGCTGAAAGAAAAACTCCAGTAAAAGCAGTTTACCCTGAGGTATGGGAACTGCAGGGGGTAGGTTTGCATTTTAAAAGCCTTGAGGAAGGGCGAGGCTAGAGCCGGCTCCCCGACGCTCCGGGCTGCCAGGGGATAAGGAAAGAGTAAAGGGGCAGATGAAAACCTCGAGACGGACTTCCAGACTGGGACTGCGCCCGCTCACTCTGCCTGCCGAGCGTCCGTGCCGTGGGCACTCGATTATTGCTCTCTGTCCTTTCACCAAAAAAACAAAACAAAAAACCCAAGGTGCAGAGACCACAGCTTGCAGAGGAAAAAAAAAATCAAACAAACAAAAACAAAGCCCAATATTCACAACACGTGCTGTGTCTCCAAGTCCTAGGAGCACACAGCACAACGACCTCCAGTTTGTAGATAAGGACACACCTGATCAGAGAGGTTAATTGTCTTACAGGTAAAACACACAGCCTCTAAGCTGAGGGGAGGGGCGGGGGAGGGGTGCCGGGCCAAAGCGCGGAAGTTCTTTCTCAGTCTGTCCTCAGGCTGAGGCCCTGAGGCCCACTCAGAGGGATGGAATGTCTGACATTCCCCAACTTTTGCTACAGCCACCCCCACAAGCCCCTGAGGGATCTTCACTCACAGGCTACTCAGTCCTGGAAAC